TAATTTCTTCCCAAGTGATCTTTTTAATAGAAACTAAAACCACTAAGCTGTTCACATTAGCTCTTGTTTTAAACTAGAATTTAAAAATTTAAGTTGTGTACATCAACTAGGAACTTGTATCAAATTATTTTATTGGTCCCAGTTATGTCCAGGCTTGGTGGTTTTAATTGATGCTTTTATATTAAAGACACAAGTGGGTCCCTCACTGTGATCTTTAAAACATGCAAACAAAATCCATTGTGGCCCTGGAAGAAATTCAGTGGGTTAACTATCTATTGGTTGCATTTTAAAATATCCCAATCCCATGGTAACTTCAATCAAAGACTGTTACTTCTCAACTTCAAAGCAAGTTATACCACGACTCCCATGGGATCATCCCACTTCTCATCTGCTTGGGCAACACCCCATCCTCCACCCAGCATCACTTCACGCTTTAGCAACATTTTTACCAATGAATGGTCTTGCCTAATCTATGAAGCTTGAATTACTGTCTGCGCACAGAAAGCAGCCTCCCAGCACAGCTTTGCTTCCTCAGCTCTGTAACTCCTGTCCTGAGGTCTCCCTTCAGGTTATTTTGATACTTGACCAGACTGTTCTCGAGTATGCTGACTGCACTAACTGTGGATGATACAAAAAAAGTCCTCACCCCTGCGAAGGACTAATCCAAGGATTTGATATGACAGTCCTGCTTACAATGCCAGATGTTCTACTTATAGTCCTTATACAAACCATAGGAGTACTCAAATGTGCAGGTTACATTTGTGTTTATTCACACAATCTCAGTTTTAGACGGGCTAAATGGAATTCTATCTAATGCCCTGTCCGGCTGTGCCTGGCTCTGTTCCACCTCGATCATTCTCCGTTCCACATCTGTCTGATCTCAATCCAACATCAGTCCGATGTGCACAGAAAATCAACCTTTATATGCATATATTGTCTACATTTAATTCTTGCACAATAAATAGAAATCTTCTATTCTACGTCTTTCTCTCATCCTGTCTACATGACTCTGTTTATATCCTCCAGTTTGCTCTCAAGGCTGATACAGTCCTTGTAGGGTGTGCAGGTTCCTCTGTAGTCATTTCTGCTGATGCAGACACATAGAGTGGGTTCAGGTTCATGCTTGGTAAAATGTCTTACAGAACTAGTGTGTAAGGTGTTACCTTACTCTTGTTGTAACTCCTTTTTCGTAAAAATCTTTTATAATTTCCACTAAGGTTTCCCCCTTTTGGCTGTTGGGCAAGCCCAAGATAGTTAATTTCATTGATACTGTCCTTTGCCTTTTATGCTCTGCCATCCACTGATACTGGCCAGGTATCTGCTTGCGTTCGTAAAGGTACTAAAGTTAGAACATCTGTACAAGTGGGTGCTCAGTTTAAGCCCTTGGTCTATTTGTAATTTTTCCATAAGTACAATGAGTTGAGGTTCACAATACTGAATAGATGCGTACCCCTCAGAACTGTCTGAGTAGGGAATCAAAAATGTAAAGTTTTGACATATTTATTTTTAATGATTTCATTGCAACTATTTCCCATCATGTCTCAGAAGTGAAATAAGTTTAGAATCATAGAGTCATTGAGACCTACAGCACGGTGTCAGGCCCTTTGGCCCAAACTGGTCCATACCGACCAAATGTCCATCCATGTTAACCCCATTTCCCTGCACGTGGCCCATATCCTTCTAAACCTTTCCTATGCCTGTATTCGTCCAAATGCCTTTTAAATGTTGTTAATGTACCTGCCTTAACCACTTCCGCTGGCAGCTCATTCCACTTGTGTAAAGCTCTTGCATAAAAAAGTTGCCCCTCAGGTTCCAATGTATTCTTTCAACTCTTACCTTAAATTAGTGCCCTCTAGTCCTTGATTCCCCAACCCTAGAAAAAAGACTGAGTGCGTTTACCAAATCCACGCCTATCGTGATCTTATACACTTCTATGTGATCCCTTATGCAGTCACACTAACATATTTATGTATAGTGCAACATAACACAATTGTTTTATGCCAACAATATGAACAATGCCATTAATATAAATTGGAGGATTTAACAAATATTTGATGCTCTTTATGTTTGGTGCTTGTGCATTCAAAACCAGTCATAGAACATAAATGGTGAGAATTTACTTGAAGCTTCTCCCAGTAGGGGAGAATTGTGGCAGAGCCTCAATTCCGTGCGGAGTTTCTGCCAAAATTCTGTGACTGTTGCAGCTAGAGACAAAACCTGACTACAACTTGAATATTCCCAGAGAAACAATTTAAAAAGTGACCCTGTTTTGCTGATCTTTTCTTGTGTACTTACTGAATACTTATACCACATCTCTCAATGAAGTTAGGCACTCACACAAGTATGTGCAGTTAAAGCACTCACATCATGGAATTTAAGTTGTGATAGTCAGTGTTACATGGAGTAAAAAGGCAAGAAAAGACTGAAAAGGTAATTTGTGTGTTTCTGCCATTTACAATGTTAAATCTATAGAATGAATGTGGCTCCAAGGACATTTCTGGAGTCTTCTGCATGTCTGATGTTAAATATTAGGTTGTGCATTTCATGAAAAAGTTGAGGGTGTTTTGGGCTTGGTTTTTGATTCCAACACTTCTGCAGCTGGAAGTAGTTTAGAATGGGACATCTATTCAACACCCCAACTCCATTGAATCCTAATGCACCATAGTGGATTATAACTTATTAGGTTCTAGCTTTAATGTTGACTCAGCTCCATAGAGATAGCCCAATACCACCAATAGGTATTAAGCTGTGATCCAGCAGGACACTCACTGGAGCACCAGAAAGGAAAGGAGATGAATTGAAGGGGAGGGTCTCGAGCTCCCATGACAAAATTGACTGAAGTGGTTCAACCTGACCTTGTGTAGAGGTTTTACATTGAGGAATACAAATGAGAGGGAGAGGTAGCCAGTAAAAGGTCTTTGCTTTCCTCAAGACACTTCTTTTCACATCTACTTAGCTCTGTAGAAGAACAAAAAGGAAATTTTGGGATTTGGGAACTGGGAGGGTAAATGTAAACAAAACTGCTTGCAGGGTAAATAACAATATGGTTGGGTTAAATGGCCTGTTTCGATGTTTAACTTCCATGTGTTCCTGCTAGTCTGATCATTTAAGTGTGGCAGGGAATTCAAGAGATCAGAACAAGGAGCTGTGGATGAAGGGTCGAGAATTCCCACTATGTTTCAGGAGTAGGGATCTGGCGGCAGGCAATTCTACAACCAATTATTGCTGTCTTTTGAATTGGAACACTTATTGCAGGAAAAATCAGCTTCATATGTTTGTGTTAATGGCAATAAACCTAGACAGTACCAGAAAGAATAGCTCCCAAATGCTAATGTGTACCTGTAAGTAGCATCTCCTGTAGGCAGGCCGGCAAGATGCTGCATTAAACAGGAATTTGGATATTTCAAAAGCAGTACTTCTCTGCCTGTCAACCCTGTTTTGGAAAGAATACATTTCCCTAGTATTTCTGAAACACTGGCAGCAGAATGTAATGTCAGTTGGTATCAGTCATCTGCAACATCCTATAAGAGGATAATTAAAGTAAGTAATAGCCCAATTAATGGCAGTTATTAGAGGCCGACTGGAATTTCACAGTCTGCTGTGGGCTTCTCGTCTGCTTGGTGCTACTGGTCAGGGTTGAGGCCTTTCCTGCTGACTCCCGCACCTCCCTCTGTAACTGTAGTCACATGCAGCCTGTGAAGGCTCCCCTGCAGAATGGTAAAAGTTGCCAAGAGGGCACCTTCTCTCTCTTTTCCTCCCTGCAAAGGAAGGCTGCAATTCCTACCATGCTGGAAGACCTCCTATGGATCCTTCAACTTTGAGAGCCTGCTTAACATTTTAATCTGGATGCCAATTGCACCATCTCGCCACGAATTAGCCAACGCAGTGTGGGATTGGAGCTTCCATTTGACTCTGACCTTCGGGTCCTGATCCAAAACTCAAAATTTTACCCCAAGTTTTTGAAATTTGACTTGAACCCACAACCTTATGACTCTGACGTCAGAGTTCTGCTGACTAAGCCACAACTGACTCTAAAAATCATAATGCACATTGTTGACAGAATGTAATCTCATTGTTCAACTACTGCTTACGTACATCCCTAACAAAGTACAACAACTGGCCTGCACAACATTGAGAATAAAGCACTGTAAAAGTTCTCTTTTGTTTCACGCATCAGGAGTTCTGCGGTGTGAGAGGATGTGAGGAGTGTGAGAGGAGTGCAGTGAGAAGTGATCAACTCGGATAAGAGATAAAAGTAGGGTTGATTGAATTTGCACATGGCAACAGTACAGCAGCAAAGGCCAAGGCTAGAGTTTTGATCATATTGCATGTCCCAGTGCAGTAAAGCTTCTTGGGGATGTTGTTGCAAATATAGATATAAATAGTTTTGGTGGTTAATTGTTCTTACAAACTTCAAATAAAGCTTAGATTCACTGCATTCTTGCTTATCTCACATGCCTGCTTCAGGAAGAATGGATGTGATTCTGGACAAACTGACATTTTTATCCTGTCTTGAATTCATATCATATACCCAAATAAAGCAAATGCATATTAATCTGGAGTAAGTCCTGTTACTTGCTTTGACAATGAATCCATGAATGTTTCAGAACTGCCACCGTTAAAAATGCGTTTTAGTTTTGTGCAACTATTGATTATGTGCGTGGGACCTGATGTGAGTCGTCTTGTGCAATTTGTGATGTATTATAAGTAAGTTTTGCAAGCAGCAAACTCTGAAATTCCAACACACAGATTTCTACAGTTGAAAGACATTGTGGCCCCGTGGGTAATAGTCTAAATGTGAAGAACTTACTTGTCTTGCATGAAGCAAGTGAGGAATTTGAAAGAAGGTTAAGTTGTTTGAGTTGATCTAAAATGCACTGCTTAAAGTTGGTTTTTGCTTCTTGTATAACTTTTCATTGTTGTTACTGGGCAGAGTTATGCTTTATTTTCTCTTCTGCTTGTCATAATGCTATTTTTTGATCTGATCTCCCACTGTTTAGGCAAAGGCAGCTCAAGCATCTCATCCGACATGAGTTCAAGTACGGATCACACACCAACCAAAGCCAGAAGGAATGCAGCTACCAGTGAAGGTATAGGCATCTGGTCCTCATTAGAACATCTGTCCTTTTATACTCAGCTTACTACTTTTTTGGGAAATACTTTTTAATTAAAACCAACTCAACGTTGTTGGCATGCTGCACTTTGTTTTCCACTGAAAAAAGATATTGTGAAGTCCTTTTTTTAAAAAAGGAAACATAATTTCATGAAGTATTAGGATGCAGTTGTGTATTGTAGTTGAAAATGAGGTCAAAAGCACAATGCTTAAAAATTCCGTGCGCCTCCACTGTTTATTTGGATTGACTTGATGGGATAGATGAAGAGAATCTTCCACTTGTGAAGGAATCCATAAGAAACATCAAATAACTCCAAGAATAAATTCAGGGAACTTTCTTACAGAGTGATGACAATATGGAACTCCTACATCATGGATTAGTAGAGACAATGAGCATAGATGCATTTATGAGCATGCTAGGTAGCAGAAATAATTTATATTTATATCGTACATTTTGAAGGTGCTTCACAGGGACATTTACAAAACAAAGTATACACTGAGCCACAAAACGTGATATTAGGTCAGATAAGCAAAAGATTGGTCAAAGGAGTAGGTTATAAGCAGTGTTTTAAGGGAGGAAAGTGAGGTAGTGACTTGGAGAAGTGTAGGAAGAAAGTTCTAGAGCTTGCAGCTTTGGCAACTGAAGGTATATCCACCAGTGGTGGAACTGTAATAATTGGGAATGCACAAAAGCCAGAATTAGCAAATAGCAGATATTCTGGAGGTTTGTGGGGCTGGAGGAAATTGTAGCGATGGGGAGATGCAAAGCAATAGAAGGAATTGAAAACCAGAATGAATGTTAAACTGAGGGTGTTGCTTGACTAGGAGCAAATGTAGGCTGGTGAAAACAGAGATGATAGGGGAACAGAATTTGCTTCAAGCCAAGACCCGGACAGCAGAATTTTAGATGACCTCAAGTTTACAGAGGACAGAATGTGGGAGACCAGCCATGATTAATAGCCAAGCCTAGACAAAAATAACACACAAATGAGGATTTCAGCAGCAGATCAGCTGAGATGGAGGCGAAGTTGGACAATTACTGAGGTGGAAATGTGTGCCTTAGTGAAAGCATGAATGTTAGATTAGAAGATCATTGCAAGATTAAATCTGACACTAAGGTTGTTGGTTAAGTCTCAGACTGTTGCCTTGGAGTCAATAGCTAAGGAATAGGGTTTGAAGTGGTGAGTGAAATGCATGGAGTCACACTTCTTAGTGCTGAATTGGAAGAAATTTCTGATCATCCAGTACTGGTTGTCGATTAAGAGGTCTGACAACTTAACAATGGTAGAGGAGTGGAGATAATTGGAGGTGAGATAAAATTGGGTGTCTTCAGTGTACATGTGAAAACTAATGCATCTTCAAATGATGCCACCGAGGTGCATTTTGTCGATGAGAAATAGGAGAGGGCAAGGCTTGATCCTCAGAGGACAACAGGAGTAACAGTGCAGGGTAGAAAGATTGCAAATGATGATTAGATAGATAAGAATAGAACCATTTGAGAGCAGCCCAACCCATCTGGTGGAGAGATGTTGGAAGAGTATGGTGTGCTCAACTGTGCAAAAGATTGAAGACATTTCAAGAAGGACAAGGAGAAAGGTTTTACCTTTTTTACAGTCATGAAGATGCCACTAGTGACTTTTACAAGAGCTGTTTTGGTTTTGTGACAGGGGTAGAAACCTGATTGGAGGATTTCAAACCTGGAATTCCCAGAAGATGGGCATGGATTTTGGAGTTAACAGCATCTTTAAGGACTTTGGAGGGGGAAAAGAGTTTGAAGATTAAGTGGTACTTTGCAAGGACAGTGGTGTCAAGCTTTGGATTTTTGAAGAGACAGGTGATGACAGCAGATGTGACAGAGACTGGAGCGAACCCTGAAGAGAGAGAACCATTTACAATACTGGCTAACCTGTCAGCTAAGAGGGGAAGCTGGGTGATCGATGTGAATCATCTGAGTGGACATTAGCAGACTTCATTAGAGTTAACTATTTACAAGCCCTGGTAAGATCTATTCCAGATCCTTACAGACTCTGGCTCCATTCCCATGTGATCTAATGTCGCTGTGATATAGCTCCTTTGGCAAAGGCAGCTAATCAGTTTGCCTCAATCTTGTGATAAAGAAATCCATGCACTCCTTGCATTGTTTTTGGTGGTGAGAGGATGGATGAAGAGGGAAGAGGGTTTAAAGAAGATAGTATGCAGTTGAGAGAAGAAGCCTTTACATGAATTAAAAAGAAAAAAGAAACTGAAAGATATGGTGCTAAGTTGAAATTAAATATGTGGGAGGAGGCTTGTGTGAAACATAAGCAATGGCAAGGGCACCTTGGGTTGAGTGGCCTGTGTTGTAAGTTCTATGTAAATCTGAAAATTATTTTTCAATATTTACACAATTTAAAAGAAGGCATTTTTACGATTCATGTCAAACATTGAGCTTTAGGCATTTAATGTTGGTTATGTTTATTCGCATTTAGAGTGACTAATTGTGTGGGTAGACAATAACTACTGTCACCACTGGACGGTTTTTTCTGTTCATTATCATCTATATGACTGGCAATCTTGAAGGTAAATTATTACAATGAAAATAAACTTTCAATGTTAGATTACTTAATGTTTCTCATGTTGAGGTTATCAATCAATATTTCACAATTAGAACTATAAAATGAAGCAAAAAATTCTGATTTTATTTTCTTTTAGGTTGAATTATCAACAAAACATCACACTTAAGAAAGACAGTCAAAACCTTAGAGATGTTGTGCAGATTTATCGGTTGCAAGATTTCAGTTATGTGGAGGGATTTTAAAAACTCAGATGCTCTCCTCAGGGCAGAGAAGTTGAGTTGCTCAAAATTTTGAGGGATTTAAGGAGGAAAGACTGTTTACAATGGTCACAAAATAGATTCAAGGTAATTGGGAAAAGAACCAAATGTGACAAGAAGAAAAAAAAATCTGTAGCGAGTTGTTATCATTGAAACAGATTCAATAATAACTTTTAAAATATAGTTGGATAAGTGCTTGAAAAGGGAAAACAATTGCCACGAGGAAAGGGCAGGGAAGTGGAAACTAATTGGATAGCTTTCAGAGAACTGACATAGACATGAAGGGCTGAATGGTGGCCTTTTGGGCTGTATGAAAAATGTTTTGCTTCCTCTCTAATAATGTGGTTCTTCTGACTGGAAGGATATCTTTGTCAGCTAAACAATGTCAACTGTGTTCAATTTAGTTGCTAGTTCCACCTTCCCTCTGATTGAAAGGAGCTGCTCAACTATGATGCTGATTAGGAGTGAAGGTCGGAGGATGAGATTATGGAGGGGCAAGGAACAAAGTATGTACTTGAAGCCAAAGTATAAATAAGACCCCACCCATCTTGTGTTCTGACCAAAATTAGCAGCTGCTGGTGCCAAACATTCAAGGATGTTGGCCTCTGGCCTTTCCCATTGAGATTTCCAAAATTTGATATTAAAAATTTGGCCAAAGGCATTTGGCAACAAGGTAGCTTTTCAGCAAAGGAGAGGGAAGATAATATCCAATGAAGGAAACCTCAGTTTAAGATATACTACAATGCGGGGTGTGTCTGAAGTGCCTCTTCTAATCACTTTTTTTTTGTTTATAGGCATTGTCAAAAATCAAACGAGACAAATAAGCTAATTGGAAGGAAAAGAGTTCACATGATGTGTTTAAAAGCAAAAATATCTGTGTGACTTTGTATTAGCTGTTTAATACAAGATTTTTTTTATTGGTCAGGAGGTGAAGGGGGCTAGATTCTCACCCCTATTAATGTCAGGAATTTAGGTGGACCTGAAATTGTGAAGCCGCTCATCTTGCCAGTTTTCTAATGTTGTTTTCAACATTTGGATTTAGCCATCTGCCTGCCTTCAGTTAGGCTCATTAAGACCCTATTTTATCATGGATTATGCAACTCCTCAAGTTTTGTGATGCAACAAAGGGCAAGCTAACTGCCTGAAGGCAGACACCTACCAGCTGACTAGAGTCCCAATACTCCTGTCATTCCTCTCCCTGCCTGGCTGGCTGTGGGTCTAGTCAAAGGCCATCCCGGAAAGAATGTTAGTGTATCTTTAAAAAGGGGCACCCCCCTGGTCAAAAATTTAATGAGTAACTGCTTGTATGTTGATGTGTGTGTGTGTGTGTGTGTGTGTGTGTGTGGGGTGGCTGGGGGGCGGTGTGGCGGGGGGGGCAAGTGCAATGGGTGAGGTTCAGGACTCGCTAGCAGTTCAGTGTCCTGTTTCCTATCCCCAAGGTGAAAACATTAGTCCAAATTTGTCAACTCTTTTCTGCAGAATTACTTTCCTCTTGCTACTGACAATCGACATTCATGAAAAGGATACTTATTTGTAATAAAAAGAACAGTAGCAACATGGATACGGAGTTGGCTGAGTGGCAAGAAACGGAGATTAGTGGCTAATGGACGTTTCTGGGGCTGAAGAAATGTTTGTGTGGACTTCCCCAGGGACCAGTTTTGGGACTGTTTTACTTGTGTATTAATCATTATCATACAGTATCAATGTGAGGTCATCCATTTTGGTAGGAATAACAGCAAAATGGACTATGTTTTAAATGGTAAAAAATTGCAGCACGCTGCTGTGCAAAGGGACTTGGGTGTCCTTGTGCATGAATCGCTGAAGGTGGGATTGCAGGTGCAGCAGGTGATTAAAAAGGCAAATGGAATTTTGTCTACCATTGCTCGAGGGATGGAATTTAAAAACAGGGAGGTTATGCTGCAGCTGTGTAGGGTCCTGGTGAGGCCACACCTGGAGTACTGTGTGCAGTTTTGGCCTCCTTACTTGAGAAGAGATGTACTAGCACTGGAGGGGGTGCAGAGGAGATTCGCTCGGTTGATTGCAGAGTTGGGAGGGTTGGATTATGAGGAGAGACTGAGTAGACTGGGCTTATACTCACTGGAATTCAGAAGAATGATGGGACATCTTCTAGAAACATACAAGATTATGAAGGGAATAGATAAAGT